GACTGAGACCGAACGGAAGAAAAAGGACTGAATATGAAAGTTGAAAAAAGGAGACGAAGAAAGGAAAATGAAGGCGGCAATAGAATCCAAGAGAGTATCTCAAGAAAACTGCCCTCTTTGCTCCTTTCTCTACCACTCATCCATGTCCACTCTCCTTTTAATAGATTTGTAGCATGGCCTCCTGCTCCTACTTCAGCAGGCGTGTAGCCGCTGAGTAGATTAAAATGATAACCAACAGTAATGAGGTCCTACAGGACTGCAGTTGCATGACTAATCGAAGGGCAAAATGCAGAGAAAGGTTCAGAAGCGGGGCTCAAAAGGCCGGCATTGGGGCTGGTAATATATAGATTAGGCAGGAGAGTTGAATCATGATGACGCAGCATTACCAGCCTGCAAAAGAGGAGGGTGTGTTGTGTATATCATCTGAAGTGCCATTTCAAGCAGGCTTTCAGCAGCAATGTATTCACAACAGTGACATATGATACACAGCCAATTCATTATTAAATCAGTGATTTCAAATCTCTGGCTCCTGTTTGCTGCTTTCATCTTCTCTATGGAAAATACATCTATGCAAGCTGCTTGGTTTGCTAATTAACATTAGACGTGAACCATGAGGGAAACACGGCTTTTATCAAAGATTGATATGTGCAGCTTCACTGAGACACGGGGGCAATATTCTGTATTTTAAAGTTATCGTAACATTTATTCTGCTTCATATCTCGACATGATGACCAGCAGAGGATTATCAATACCACAAATCATACACACCAAAACCCACTGAAGTGCTAGCTTGTTTGCAACTAGCTCGTGGACAAGCTAGCAGCTACAGAACCAATCAGAGAATCAGTGGAGAGCAAAAGACAACTGTAAATATAGTGGTTTTTGACTAAGATTCAAAGAATGAGACCACAGTTTGATACCAAGTTCTTATTAAAAAAACATCACGTTCACTAAATAAATAAATTAATAAAAAGAACTTTTTATGTACAACTCTGGTTCTAATAATTTGGGTTTGCTCCTTTATTACTGTAAGAAAATAATTTATGAGACAGCAGGTGTTTACGCCCGGTGTCACATAAAATTATACCAGAATATTTCAATGAAATTTCTGATAACAATTTCATTTCATTGATGCTTACTGACAGCATCAATCTAAGTGTAAGTAAATAAAGAGTATTTTCCACTGAACTCTTGCCATTAATGACGCTCTTTCAAGTTTGAAGTGTGAAACTATTGAAACAAGGTGGCAGCAGTTTTAGAGTGCAACAGTGACACAGTGTAAGTCAAATGTATTTGAAGTAATTTTAAGTATAAAATAACTCATTAACATTTTAGTTTAACAGAAACTAGACTAAGAGAACCTTGTAACTAATCAGGAGCTGCACTCTAATGTCACATAATAAAGCTGAAAAATATTCTCGACCAGG